GTGTCCACACCTTCTTTGGCAAGGCTGCTCACCTTGTGGACAACACAAATCAAGTGGGCCATTTTCAGAAGGTATGGACATTCAAATATAACTTTGTTTTGTTCAAGATCATAGTCATGAAAAATATGAAATAAAAGAATTAAGGTATTCAGGAGATGATAAGAGAAATATGTCTAATTTGTTCCTCAAGTACACTTAATTCATTCCTTTTTACATCAACATATGGCTCCCAGATATTCATAATATGTATATTCAAAATCCACTGACTGACTGTTGACAAAAGTATTATTGAGGTTGTTTGGGGGACTGTTTGCTTTAGATTGAATTTCTAAATTCTGTAATGTAGTTCATGTTCCAACCTTTTGTCTGGATGTATTCTCATAGGTCTTTGCTAGAGGAGTAGATGGAGAGGCTGTAGTTTTGATGGCTGCTAGAGCCTCAAGAGTGGAAAACCAAGATGCAATAGACGCTGCTATTGTTGGGACGTTGGCTGATCCAAAAGAGGTGTGTTAATTAGTATACAAACTTTCTACTACATACGATGGAGGTGCAAGAAGAATTTACGCTTCTGATTCTGAATAGCTGAAACAAATGCACCATAATATTGAGTGAGATTTTCCTTCTGAATGACTTTTGTTATCAATTCTCCATTTAATGTGTGTTCCTATTTTTCTTCTTTGACTTCTACTAAAAACTAAGGCATGAGCTGGCATTCAACTAATAAGTGAATAGCTCTGACGTATATTGACAGTGAAGGTAAAATGCATCGAGTCAGCAAAGATACCTAGTATTATTCAGGATGAAATGAGTGAAGAAGCACCGACACTCCAAGATAGGTGCCGGTGCTGTGTCCGACAGGTGTATCCACATGGTATTTATAGTTTAATTTCTTATGTTTTGCAAATGCTCATGAACCCACAGCATAGCTGTGTTTTTCTTATTCCCAGTAGTTTCAATTATCTGTGGATGATACTGCTTATAGGAACTTCATATTACCCCGTTTTCTGCAGAGAAAACCACCTGATTGGCAGGATTTTGTTGGGATCATTACTCTGCTTTTTATCAATTCTACTATAAGTTTTATTGAGGAGAACAATGCTCGTAATGCTGCTGCGGCTCTCATGGGCTGCCTTGCTCCAAAAGCAAAGGTAATGGAATTTGGTCTTTAGATAAATTCAAAAAAATTCTACCTTTACGCATATATGTAACTTGCTTTTCCAGTTTTTTAAGGCTGGATTATGACTTACAATTTGTATCTTCTATCCTAAATTGATTAATCTAAAACAAAAAATCATAGGTTCTTCGTGATGGAAAATGGAGTGGGGAATATGTAGTTGTTCTTGTTCCAGGTGATGTAGTTAGTATTAAACTTGGTGACATAATCCCTGCAGATGCTCGTCTCCTTGAGGGTGACCCATTGAAAATAGACCAGGTGCTTGTGACTATCATTATTCTGTTGATTGAAGTAGGTTGATTTCATCTTCTAATAGTCAAGCTATCTAACTGGAATACTTCTATTTGGGTTTTGCAGTCTGCACTGACAGGTGAGTCCCTTCCTGTAACAAAAAGCCCCGGGGATGGGGTTTATTCAGGATCCACTTGCAAACAGGGAGAGATTGAAGCAGTGGTCATTGCCACCGGTGTCCACACCTTCTTTGGCAAGGCTGCTCACCTTGTGGACAGCACAAATCAAGTGGGCCATTTTCAGAAGGTATGGACATTCAAATATAAATTTGTTTTGTTCAAGATCATAGTCATCAAAAATATGAAATAAAAGAATTAAGGTATTCAGGAGATGATAAGAGAAATATGTCTAATTTGTTCCTCAAGTACACTGAATTCATTCCTTTTCACATCGACATATGGCTCCCAGGTGTTCATAATATGTATATTCAAAATCCACTGACTGACTGTTGACAAAAGTATTATTGAGGTTGTTTGGGGGACTGTTTGCTTCAGATTGAATTTCTAAATTCTGTATTGTAGTTCATGTTCCAACCTTTTGTCTGGATGTATTCTCATAGGTCTTTGCTAGAGAAGTAGATGGAGAGGCTGTAGTTTTGATGGCTGCTAGAGCCTCCCGAGTGGAAAACCAAGATGCAATAGACGCTGCTATTGTTGGGACGTTGGCTGATCCAAAAGAGGTGTGTTAATTAGTATACAAACTTTCTACTACATACGATGGAGGTGCAAGAAGAATTTACGCTTCTGATTCTGAATAGCTGAAACAAATGCACCATAATATTGAGTGAGATTTTCCTTCTGAATGACTTTTGTTACCAGTTCTCCATTTAATATGTGTGTTTCTATTTTTCTTCTTTGACTTCTACTAAAAACTAAGGCACGAGCTAGCATTCAAGAGGTTCACTTCCTTCCATTTAACCTCACTGATAAGCGAACAGCTCTGATGTATATTGACAGTGAAGGTAAAATGCATTGAGGCAGCAAAGGTGCACCAGAACATGTATATTAATTAGTAACTGTTTCTATTATATCTTGCATCTGATATTGTTTCTTTCTTTTTCCTTTTTATCTTTTTTTTGTGCCTAATTATGCATTGGATATGGTTGTTAGATACTGAATCTCGCACATAATAAATCGAAAATAGAGCGTAGAGTTCATGCTGTGATTGATTAGTTTGCAGAGCAAGGGTTATGATCTCGTGCAGTAGCTTACCAGGTACTATATTATTGTCATTATTTGCTGGCCATTCTCTATACTACTATACTCAACACAGATGTCTTTTTGAATTAGCTATTACTCAGTAGAATTCATAGAGAGACAGGAGCTTATGAGGTATTGAGCAGCAGATACTTCATTTTAAAATAAAATCAATAAATAGAGGGTAGTATCATCAAAAGTAAAACCAAAAAAAGAGGGTACTATCATCAAAACTTACCTATCTAAAATGCACTAAAGATTAAGAATTTTCAATATGTTGGCACATTTCATGATCTCAACAAAATAGGAGTCCCCATTTGGCTTGGGCTTAAAAAGCCCTTTTTTTTTTTTTTTGAGACAAATGATAAAATGGAAAGGCTACGATTGTCAGGTCAGCCTTACTAAATAAACCAAAAAGCAAAAACACCGAACTCCACCCAAGTGTGGAAATGTTCAAATGTGTTTGGGTTAATTCAGGTATTTGCTGATAGTGCATTAATGAAGCTGACATTGTTGTCTAACTGGCCTTAATGATTTTCTCATGAGTAATGATGATTGTTTCGTTGTTTGTTTCCTTTTATATATTATTTTTTTTTCTACATTTCTTGGTGATTTATGCCCATATTTATATTATTTATCTAGTCTTACTTGTTGAGGTTGGCTCCTTATCAACCTTGGAGTCAATGTCAGCATAGAATTGGGTCATGCAGTATCAATCCCAATCTTCTTGAAATCTGTAGTGAATCACTGATTACTTTTAATGGGTAGGTCTTTACTTTCATTTTTTTTTTTCTTTCCTTGTTTTGATAAATGGTGGACAGTTTTTATTTTGGATCTTCAGTTTCTATTCTATAATATTGATATAAATCATGGAGTACAATACACCATACACTATCATATTATAGCAACATCTGATGTAATATTCATTTGAAATATCAGTTACGCACTTCAATCTTCTTCTCATTCTCTCTCTCAGATATCTCACTCTCTCTGTTTTTCCATTCATTTTAAGTCAAATCGCCTTTTTGATGGTTCAAAATTATTCGTCTCTCTCGCTATATAACAATACACAATCCATCTCTTTCAGGTATTTTTTTTTCCCTGCTAAATGTTTTGTTTGCTTTCGAATTGCCATAGTTCTCTTTCTCTCTCTATTGCTTGTATGACGTATAATAGTGTGTTGTGCGATTTGCAGGATCTGCTACTATTCTTTGCCTTGATCCTTACTCAATCTATCGCCTTTTGAGGTATATGCATATATATGTTGTTCAAGCTATTGATTTTCTATTCGTTTATGGAGTTTTTTTGTTTTTTGGTGATATCTTTTATTCTGGAATAGGATTGATGGATTGGGAGTGGGAGTCTTCCTTCTTCTAGCTCTTAGAATCAGTGTGCCAAAGGTTGATTCTTGGGATGTAGTTTTGGTTGCAGTTTTGTAGTCTTCCTTCTTCTAGCTCTTAGAATCAGTGTGCCAAAGGTTGATTCTTGGGATGTAGTTTTGGCTGTAGTTTTGTTTCTTTTTTTTAACAATCTGATGCATCTATCTGCTTTGCTTTTCTTTTCTTTTCTTCTATACTCTTTTTTGTTTCCCATTCAAATTTTCTGGAACAATGTATGTTTTCTTTAAAGGATGCTACTTTTTATTTTACTTGGTCTTGTGATCCATAAGTTTTTGAACCATGTAAAATACCAATGATATATTCTTTGATTTATTTTTGTTCATTTATTTATGTAGGTTGTGTGTCCCCCTCCCCCCCAAAGAAATTAGTAGGTGGAGTTGTATATTTAAAGTCATATTTTGGAAATTAGTGACCCATATGATTTGAATACTTTTCTTAGTTTGTACGTTTGTGAGATTGTTATTAGCTTGATATGATAGAAGTTGAGGATGGAAGCTAGTATGCAGGTTGTTTGGTGTGTGGATGTTAGTTTTTTCCCTTAATTGCTGCTTCTACTTGATTTGTTCACAAGTTGCTACACTTTATAAGCTATTGCCTTTGTTTGGAGGTGCATACGGCTAGGCAAGGTAATGTTCTTGTGTGTGTGTGTATATATATATTAAAAATAATTTTCTACGGCATACAAAATTATGTCGTGAAAAGTGTAATGATTTATAGCATGCAAGAAAATGTCGTAAAATATTATATACGGCATACAAAATATGTCATAAATATATTAAAAATAACTTTTTACGGTATGCAAAATTATGTCTTAAAAAATGTAATGATTTATGGCATGCAAAAAAATGTCGTAAAAGATTATATATGGCATACAAAGTATGCTATAAATATATTAAAAATAACTTTTTACGACATTCAAAATTATGCCATGAAAAATATAATGATTTATGGCATGTAAAAAATGTTGTAAAAAATTATAGACGACACAAAAAGTTGTCATTAATGTTTAATTTATTACCTTTTACAACTTTACTTGCATGTCGTAAATGATGCTCAACTTTTCACGGCATGTCATATAACGGCATTTGTATGCATGTCGTGAAAGTTTTTACGGCATGCATTACAAGCCGTGAAAATTCAATTTTGTTATAGTGCCACTATGATGCTTTTTGCACGAATCCCTTTTTTCCTTTCTTGACATAATAAGTTCTTTGTTTATCAATAAAGGTTTTTTTACCGATTAAAAAAAAAACAAAACAAGTTGTAGACACCCCATTTTTTACTGTCCTCAAGACTTGGATATGCTTGCAGGTACATCCAGCCACAAGTTCGATTGCTCGTTGAGTATTCGAGTTCGCGGCAGAACGTCACAGGTTTGAGCTTTCCAAACCCTGTATTCTTTCTGTCTCATTTTTGAACCATGTGTTAGCCCTTTCTGCATGCTTCTTGTGAGGCACTGCCGACCACCTTTTGGCCCTACCGGCCATGGTTTTGTCCTGCCTGCCATTGATGAAGCCTGTCGGGCATCAATGAAGCATTGCCAGCCACCACTGATGGCCGGCAGAACACTTTGTCTCAGCAGATTTCACTCCAGATCTTTTAAGCCAGCTGGTTTTCACTCATACCTCCTCCATATGTATGGAGGGATGAAGCCCTTTCCAAGCTTGTTTGACAAGCTTTGCTTTGCATGCCTCTATATAAGGAGAGGCTCCTCCTCCCTAGCAGAGGTTCAGTAACTTTGGAGAAGATATATCTCTCTCTCTGTATATTTCTCACTCTCTCTCTCTATATTGTGTTTGTTTTGTGCCTTAAAAGTGCATTTTCCTCTCACTTTTGCACTACAACACATAGTAATACACCACCATCTTTGAGCTGAGGTTCTTGGGAGTGTTATTTGAGCTCTGAAAGTTGGTTTTTGGCCTCAAAGGTTGCTGGTTTTGAAGTTGAGCTTCAAGGGTGAGTATTTTCCCCATTAAAGCTTTTGTTTGTATCCCATTTTGGCTATCCTTGCATATGATTTTAGGCCTTGCTTTCAACTGAAAAAAGTTCTATTTTTAAGTGCTTTTGATGATTGTTTAAGGCCTCTTTGGTGTTAAGGGTGTTCTACCCTCTTGTGTGCCTTGTTTGGCCTTGTTCTGTGCCATGACTTAAGGCCTTTGTGCTAGTCTTTGTTTGGCCTTTTAGCTACTGAAATCTAGTGGATTTTCAGTGATAGGCATGTGGTTTTGAGGCCTCAAATCAGAGGGGGTGATCCCCTCTCTTTTGGTTTTGTTTGCTTGAGTTATTGGCCTGTCAAATGAGCATGTATCTATATACCCTTGAGGCATGTTGTGAGCTTGTTTTTGTGAGTTTTTAGGTCATTCATAACTTTGTTTTGGGCTGGTTTGGTTTTCTTTTGAGTGGCTCATATACATGTAGTGCAAATCTTGCTTACTAGCGTTGTTTGCATGATGTTTTGGCTCATTATTCTAGCATATTTTGGCTATGCTCCAGCATGATTTTATTCATATTTTGGCTGTTCTAGCTCAATTTTGAGGTTTCTTGGTTGAATGATGCTTGTCATGCATGTTTGTAGTGTAAAAGCTTTGACTAGCCTTGAGTTTTGACGAGTCTTGCATGCTTAACTTGATGTATTTGCATGTCTTGACATCATTTAGAATGATATTTCAAAGCATGTAGGGTTGTGGCACCTCCATGTTTTCCACTCTTTAAGTGCTCTTGAGAGTTGTACCTTTGTGCCCTATTTATGAGCCATTGCATGAGCCTTATTTTCTTGCCTTTCAAGCCATCATCTCAGTCCATTTTTGCTACTGTTTTGTCTGCATAGGGACTGTTTGGGGTTGGTTTGGCCATTTGAGCATTGTCTTGCATGCCCCTAATGTAATACACTTCACTAGCTTCGATGCTTTGAGCTTTTCAACATGCATTACATAGTTTGTATGCATGATTCCAAGTCATTTTGCATGCCATTTTAGTGCTGGAATACATGTTATTATACTCCATGCTTCACTCTTCCAATGCCTTTAGGGAGTTGTGTTTTGTGTCTTAAGCTTGGGCTAATATGCATGCATGTTTGTATACCCTTTTGAGCTTCTATCTTGGCATGTTTTGCCACTGTTTTGGGCATGGTGCAACTCTGTCTTAGGCTGGTTTGAATGTTTGAGCATTGTGATGCATGCTTGTAGTGTTATCTTTCTCATTAGCATTGGTACTCTTGGCCCCTTAACATGTTGTGCATGTTTGCTTGCATGTTAGGGTAGTGCATTTCATGCCATGATTAGCATGTTGTTTGCATGTCATGTTGTTT